TGATTGTAATTTGTTTTTTGTTGTTTGTTTTCTTGATTCAGCTCTGAAACGACTGATGCACTTCCACAGTCCTCCACATGTTCTAGTACCCTTTATCTACCCAACTATCCGAGGTATAACAACCCCATGTGCTTTATGTGCACTGTTATTAATGATGCATTGATGATTTAACAGAAGTTAAATCTCTTAAAGATTATTAAGCAGTTTTTGAAGTTGACAGCACTGTTACATTATTGTCTTGTGTTTCCTCTATTCCTTGTTTTGTCCTGCAGTGCGAAAGTTTGTGAGGAGAAGCTGCGCTATGCTGCGTACAACTGTGTGGCCATTGATACCGACATGAGTCCCTGGGAAGAGTGATCTCCCTACTGTTTCACTGACCGCTGCACACGCCACAACTCAGTCGAATCAAGATATCTTGCCAACTTTTCACCATACCCTCACAACTGCCAAATAACCAATAGCTGTATATAATAAATAACTATATGGAAACATGGACGTGACTCAGTATGGTTTTTAGTAACTTTTTATGTGTTCAACTCAGTAAAAGATCAAATTTTCTTCAAGACTCATTTAACCCAGACAAAACAGGAAGAAGTTATCATGACATGTCGTGTTTAAATGTTGCTGGTAATAAAAATGAGTAAACAGTGTTTCTAAACCCAAATTGTTAAAAATGATCAAACAGATGAAGTCATCTGTATAACACACGGTCCAATTAATTACTGTTAATAAAATTTTACATCAGATTTACGCATTATATGTATTTACTCATTCTTAATCTTTATTTTATTATATTTGTATCTGAAAACAACCTATATAAAGTACCTGTGTTACATGTTCTTTAACATTATGTCTATTCTTTTATTATACATTTTGAAATGACATCTGTTTTCACTACTAACTCTAAAAATTGTAAAACAAAATAGAAGTTGTTGCGGGGTGTGGTTTGTGACTCAGCCACTGAAGAGGGAGAGGGCAGTGCCAGGGAAGGATGGTCAACAGCAGGTAGCCATCGTTTAATCGTGGGTCCTCTATTTAAGCAGCGTGACGGGACTCAGGGAGGAGAGTTGGAGTACAAAGGCAAAAATAACAACATAATGATACACAGTGAGAAGCAGACAAAGGCACGCTGAAAGACGCGTGCATGCAAATACATAAACGGAACATTTGCACCATTCCCTGCAGTCATCAAGTCCTTTTGTCACAGCAGTAATTAAATACATGTCATTATCCACTCACCAGCCACTTCATATGGCAGTAATGGCCCAGTCTATAAAAGATCTTGAGCCCAGAGGTCTTTTCAACCTTTCTCTGTTCAACAAATATAGGTGATTATATGATGTGGTGTGATATGGATGTCCCTTACTTATATTTGATGTGTGATTGTGTTCCTACACCACTTTCTTGTTGTTAGTGTCTTTAATGTCTGCAACGGTAACAACTCTGTTATTGTGGTTATATTTGTCTGACAGTTGCTACAAGGCACAGATGGAATTTATAAAAGGACAAGTAAATAAAAATAATACTTTGTTTGGATCTGCCATCCCTTTGGCAAGGTCTGTTAAAAAAACTCAACTGTCACTCTTAGATAAGATCAAATTGGTTAGGATGTTCAGGAACAGCGAAATACTTAAGCCTAACATGAGCTGGAGACTGCAGGAACAGTGGAGGGAGTTTTATATCACCATGGACTGAGAGGTTGCTGACCAAGAAAGACTGCCTTGCTTCAAAGTTGATACTTTCAAGCGTGACTGAAATGTGCCGCTGCCCAGATGGACAAGCTAAATACATTCTGGACAAAAGTTTTATGGTCAGACAAGACCAACTGAGTTATTTGGCTGCAGTGACAAGAGGTTTGTTTGGAGGAGTAAAGATGACCTAAAAACATTATACCAGATGGTGGTTGCATCATGCTCTGGGGCTGTTTTGCCGCCAGTGGAACTGGTATATTCCACAAAGTGGATAGAATAATGAGGAGGGAGTACCTTCAAACTCTTATACTTTACTTTGGATCAACAACTAAACTTGAAGGCAGTTGGGTGTTTCAAGAGGACAATGAGCCCAAACACCCTAACAGAACTGGTTTTGAAATGGATGAAGCAGGCTAACATAATGCGTGTGGACTGGCGCTTTCGAAGCCTCAGCCTTAACCTTATTAAAAATGTGTGGATTGTGCTTAAAAGCTGGGTCCATGCCAGGGAAATCAATTTAAATGAATTCTACCAATTCTGCCAAGAAGAGTGGCCAAATATCCTGCCAGAATTAAGGCAGAACCACAAGTATCTGGTATCTTGCTAAAGCAGATTTTAGCCAAATATAGGAGGAGGTGCATGCATATTTTGGACCCTGTGTGGATTAGAGGAAAATAAAATTCAAATTTGGACATCCAATTCTTGTTTTTGTTTTTTTTAAAGTTATGAAAGATGTATGTTTCATAAGCAAATAAATCATGAAAGTCCCAGAATTACCATGATATTTATGCCCATGACGAGTGTGTAAACTTCAGACCACAACTGGAAAAAATATGACTTAACTAGCATATAGTAACATATATACTATATGTTCTAATCATTTTAGATAATGAATTTCTGATTTTCATGATTTATAGTCAGTCAGTCATCTAAAATAAAACAAAAAAGGCTTGAGATGTGTTATTGGGATATAAAAAAGTTCAAATTTTTGAATAAAATTATGAAAAAAATAAACTTTCAGAATATTTCAGATTTTGAGATGCACCTGTATGTGATACCTTGGGCGATATCTGGAAAAATGATAACAGCAAGAGTGAAAGGGAAGGTTTACAAGATGATAGTAGGGCCTGCTATGGTGTATGAAGATGGTGGCACTGCAGGAAGACAGGAGGGAAAGCTGGAGGTTGAAGAACTGGAGATGCTCAGACCTTAATTGAGAGTGACCAGAATAGGCAAGATTATAAATGAGTACATCAGAGGGACACGGTCAGGCTGAGCGATTTGGAGGCAAAGTTAGAGTTTCAAGGCTACCATGGTTTAGACATGTGCAAAGGAGGGAATTGGATATACTGGACGGAGGAAGACCTCAGAAGAGAAGAAGAGCATGCAGAAAGCTGGTGTGACTGAAGAGGATGCAAGGGATGGAGTGAGATGGAGGCAGATGATCTGCTGTGGCCACCCATAAAGGAAACAGTCTGATGAAGAAGAAGAAAATGAAGACCTTAGAGAATATGAAAGCAATTTTGTACTTTCTGTAATGTTGTTCTGTCTCTGGTAGTGATATCTCGAAACTTTTCTGAGACAATAAAGGAAATCTCGTTCGCTGAAGAGTTAGTTCTCGCGAGACCTAGGGTGTTCAAACCTCCCCATGAGCCCTTGCGGTTCCTCTTTCTAGCCGGCGCCTGAGAATGGGTACGTGTTTTCATGCTCGCGCCGGAGACCGAATCCTTACCCATCTGATGTTTTAACGAAGGAATATTCCAGTAATGGTTTGCTATAGCGATAAATGTTGTCATCTAAATAGAAATAGTTGACTCTTTGCTGTCTATAGTATGTTGAATTTGTTTTAAAGAAATATTTTCTAGTGGCTATCTGAAGCGAGTATCCAAGATGGCTGCACTCAATGGCTATGTAGTTAGCTGCTGAGGCTGAAGCGTCCCCAAAGACTTCTCTTGTGGCTGGTTTGGGATGTTTTATTGTGAAGTAGTGGTGTTTTCGCGTTAATTTGGCTTTATACGAGAAGTGTTGGACATCTTTGCTCGCAAATTCAACTGTTTAGGCTGGTCGAAGTTAGCTTAGTTAGCATGCCTATCGTGATCTTGTCACGCTGCTTGGCTGAGACGCTTAACGTAATAATGTAAATGCTTATGCTTTTTTAGAGAAGTATTTTGTCTAGTTATTGTTGTCGAGCTTAATTCAGCTTTATTTTGTCCTATTTAGAGGCATCTTATTTTGAAAGCTATGTCGCAGGTAGACCCGGCCTGTCTCGTGTCTCCCTTCCTGCATGCTCTATGATGCATTCATGTTCTCCAGTGGGACACCTTGGGCTTCACCTCTAAATGTTCCTTGTTGTTCTTTGGAAGATGGACTGAATTATCTGGTCCACATTCAAACCATAACATGGAGTAGTGGAGCACCAGCCACTTGGAGAATAAAGACTAATGCTCATTGAGTGGGACAGTTAGCAGGCCTGCATGCAGGGTGGAACACAGGAGATGTCACTAGCCACATGTTTTGGTGGCTTTAGGTCCACGTTGGTGATGTAGGGCCCCTGGATTACTACTGAAAACCCAAACGAATATATATAATAGTTGTGAAAATATGTTTATGTCCTGACTTTAGGAATACTATGATAGCACAGTCTAGGGTGTATTTGTAGCCTAGAACACTGAGATTTTAAGGTACCAATGTGATGTAGTGGGTCTGTAAGAGCTTCTGAATATATGTATGCATGTATCTGAGTATTGCATGTAACCAAACTGGTGTTGGTCACTTTGTCAAGATGCTGTTAGCTGTGTTATTATTGGCAAGTCCTGAAATATTGCTGTGTGGTTTTGAGTCTGGAAGTTTGCTCATCTCAGTTTTTTGTTTACTGTTAAAATAGTTTAAATCCGTGTTAATATGCAACACAAGTTGGCTTTGTTAATTTTTAACTTTTTGCAAAAGCAACTACATCTTGCCATTTTAAAGTACCATTTGATTGCTTGAGCGACATGATGAAACTCTTTTATGCGGAATCCAAATCAAATTGCGGACAACCCTTACCTTGGAGAACTGATTGCTCAAGCACAAAAAAATAATCTTCTTGCTAGCATCTTGTTGGTGGCCCAGTAAACTGACTCCTAGTTTTCCGTATTTTACTTTTGCAGGTATCTCAAGGGACAACTGGCATAAACGCCGCAAGACCGGCGGTAAACGCAAACCCTACCACAAGAAGAGGAAGTATGAGCTCGGGCGACCTGCTGCAAACACAAAGGTGACTTTTTTTGCGGGGGGCACCTCTTACCTGATTAGACTGAATAATGTGGTAGCGTGGGTGATGAAAACTTGACCTTAGGTGGGTCTTTTTTTTGAGCCGTTTTGGTTCAAAGCTTTGGGCTTACCAATGTTAGGACTTGTCATAGTTACACTGACACGCTTCAAAGCATATGCATGCTGCTGCTCAGGAAAGGAGGTTTCACACAAATCCTTTTATAAACTATAATACAATGTGTTCTTGTTGTTGTTTTTTTTAAGATTGGAACTCGCCGCATCCACACGGTGAGGGTCCGCGGTGGGAACAAGAAGTACCGAGCTCTGAGGTTGGACAATGGAAACTTCTCATGGGGCTCTGAGTGTAAGTTTCTCCTGGAATACCTTTTGATATTCCACACACCTTTCCATGATGATAACTTTGTCCAGTTCTGCTACTGAATGCAAGTGGTGACAGCAAAGACTCCTGAGAAAGACACCTTCTCTCTATTCATAGTTAACTGATTTATGAAACTATGTAGTCAGATTCAATGGGAAGTTTAATGATCGTGCCTGGGTTTTGTGTATTCAGGCTGCACACGGAAGACCAGGATCATTGATGTGGTCTACAATGCCTCCAACAACGAGCTGGTCAGAACCAAGACCCTGGTGAAGAACTGCATCGTCCTTGTTGACAGTCTTCCCTTCAGGCAGTGGTATGAGGCTCACTACGCCACTCCACTGGGACGCAAGAAGGGCGCCAAGCTGGTATGTCATAAGCTCAGTGTTGATGCTTGTAGTTAAAGCATGTTATAACTAGGTTTAGCATTCTCTTGTGTTACTGTGAACGCTTTTTAAATGCCAATGGAGGCACATCGCTTTCATATGCAGCAGCTTTGTCATACCAAAGACTCTTAAGTTTTTTTTAAATGCCTTTCGTCTCCCTTCAGTGGAAGACGTCTTTATTTGTCCATAAACAACCAAAGTAAAAGCCTTTTATCTTTATCAACATTAACAAAGATAACAGATTTGATGTGTCTTTCCATGACGATAACTTGTCCAGTTCTGCTACTGAATGGAAGTGGTGATAATAAAGACTCTGAGAAAGACCTGTCAACTGAAGTTGCTCATTAAAAGAACATTCAAAGCATGTGGTTTTTGTGCAGTAATTTTTTCAACATCTAAAGAGCTTTGCTTTCCCATCCTGATGCAGAGCCCTGAGGAGGAAGAGATCCTGAACAGGAAGAGGTCAAAGAAGACCCAGAAGAAGTACGATGAGCGCAAGAAGAACGCCAAGATCAGCTCACTCCTGGAAGAGCAGTTCCAGCAGGGAAAACTGCTCGGTAAGTCCAACATTTGTGGCAGAATTATTTTTACTTGGATAAGTGGTGAGTGCTGTTTGAAAGTTTTCATCATTGGAGTATGAAAGTGTAATCATGTGTGGCAGTTTATCTTGTGCATATGTGTTAAACACAAATACCAGGGCAGTGTTTTTGGTGTATTTAACAAAAAGGTTTTCACTTTCCACAAGAATTCTAAATAATTTTGAGCGACTGTTTAAAAATTTGCTAGGAATAAAATATTTGTATTTTTATTGAAAGGTCAAATGACAGGAGAAATGCAAAGACTGACGTTAACATGCTCTCATTGCCTTAAATATATTTCTGCAACATCAAACCCACACATCTGAAACTTGATGTACTGACCTTGATAATGTGACTGACTCTGCTTCTATCTTCCTTCATGCAGCTTGCATCGCCTCCAGACCCGGCCAGTGCGGCAGAGCAGACGGCTACATTCTGGAGGGCAAGGAGCTGGAGTTCTACCTGAGGAAGATCAAGGCCAAGAAAGGCAAATAGATGTACAGCTGTTTGATACGTCAATAAAATCCAAACGTCCCACAACTGTCCACTGTGTCTGCTCTTTCACTGGATGTGACTGTTATTTGTGCATTCAATCAGAACTGGATTTTCTTTTCCAAGGCTAACTGGGGGTAAACAGATCACACCTTATAATTAGTGACAAATATAAAAATGTAGATTTCTGACTGCCTTCAGGTCTGCATGCGTTAAAGAGTGCATTAGATGAATTGCTGAGTTGGAGGAGTATTCAGATCTGAGTAAAAGCAACTATTTAGAATGACATTCCCACACCCATTTTAATGAGGAAAGGCCTCTGCTGGCTTAGGTGTTGGTGTAAATATAACGCAAATACTTGTTAATGTCTGTTCGTTACATTAACACTGCTTGTGTTGGAGTCGAGGTATGACTTTTAACAGTTAGCAGTGGATTTGACGCAAAAAAAAATCTTGAGGGTGTTTTATTTCTGCCAATGTAGCCTGCAAATATTGGATAACATATTTGAAAGGTAAAATGTTCTGAGTGTGTGTGTGTGTGTATAGAAAACGAGAAAATCAGTTCCTTATAAGAACATAAGGATTGCATTAATTGAAACTCACGTGGTTAAACGTTTTAAGTCTTTAAACCAGTGTGATGAGGAGGTATTTTTCATGTGTTTTAGGTTAAAAAGTATTAGCCAAAAGATAACCAAAGAAAATTCCACACATTAAGGGTAAAAACACCACCCTAACCTCAGTCTGGACCTTTGTGAAAAAACAATTCCCCTTAAACCTAATGAGTCACGAGACCCTTCGCAGCAAAAACTAATCTGTAATCAAGCATTTGTGGTAACCAGTGTTGGTCAAGTTACTTGAAAAAAAGTAATCCATTACTTAATGATTACTTATCATTAAGTAGTTACTTTTCGAAAACATGATGCACAACCTGATTACAGAATAAAGCAAAAGAACTTTCAGCCCAATTCAGTTTTTTCTGCATAATCCATCATATAAAATTGAATCAAATGAAAAGCCTCTTTCTAAAAGTTGTTTTATTAGTTTTAATCTTTCAATTTTATGCACATTGCATTAAGCAAAAATGAAGTTATATGCAACTGTCTTTGACTTGAAGAGACTTGTTTAATTAAAAAGATTTAATAAAAACTATTTTAAATCCATGGATCAAGCTGACTTAAAATTTGGGAAATAGTAATAAAATAGTATAAACTAAAAGAAGATGTAGCAATTCTTAAGTGGTGTGCATACGATACACATTTTGTTCCAAGTAAATTGGATACTAGATTCAAAGATTGGACAAATAAAGGATTAACAGCTTTATGTATGGTAATGGAGAAAGGTAGACTACTAGTTTTGAAAAGGTTAAAGAAAAATATTCGTTAGAAACACAGGATTTTTGTAGATACCTACAGATGAGGCAAAAAGATCAAATCTAAGGCTGAATTAAGCAAACAGCTATTAGACTGGGCATACAGCTCAAATAAAGATAGAGGCTTTATCGCTGCCTTGTATAAAGGGTTAATAAACATGAAATCACACTCAACCCTATATATTAAAACAATGGGAAATGGAGGGAGGTATAGATATTATGAAGGAAGAGTGGAAAACAATAAGGACATACCAATGGAAATGTAGCAGCTCACAGAGCTGGAGGGAATTTGGTTGGAAAAGCCTGATAACATATGTTATTACACCTCACCAAAAATCAAAGTAACCCTCCCATTTGCTGGAAGAATTGTGGAAACACAAATGCAAATCATTATCATATAATTACTGGGACTGTCGTGTTATTAAAACTTATTGGAAGGGAATACATGTAGCAGTACAAGAGATATTTGGAAGTTATTTGCCTCTAGAAAGTAAATCTTTATTTTTTGGACTCATGCCAGAAGGATGGACAGAGAACGATAAATATTTGTTTAATATTTTGTTGGTGGTAGGCAAAAAAGCCCTCACAAAAAATGACTTTCATGTCAGAGCCCAACAACGAACATGTGGATGGACGTCATAATGGACATTTACAGGATGGAGAAAACGAGCGGATGTGAACTACAAGAGGGACCTGTGTGTGTCATGTTGTAAGAAATGGATGGACTATATAATAACACGCAGGCCAGATTTAGACTTTGTTAACCTTAGATTTATTATTTATATTACTGGTAATTAAATCTCTCTCACTAAGTGTTTTTGTCTTTTTGTTTTGTTTTTCTTCTTCTTAGTTTATTCTTCTTTTTTCTTCTTTTGCATGGATGTTTTCGTTGTTAAAAAAAGAAGAAGACATTCAGATGGATATCTGTAACAAATTATTGAAGCTGATGCACATGATACTGTAAAGTGATTCCTAAATGTCAATAAAAAAAAAAAAAACTGTTTTCTGCATATTTCAACATATAAAATAAAATAATGTTTTGTGTTTACACTCGCTCTTTCAAATAGATGCAAGTAAAACACGGCAAAAAATAATTAAAATGAAAGATTCAGCGGCACTAAGTGCTTTCGCTCTTAAATCTATTGTCACCTGTTTAGCAGGAGTGGGGCGGGTGGAGGTTTGCCTGGTGCCACAGCAGTCATGCCAGTGGGGGGATCCGGGGGTTTCTCTGTGAATTTCACATTCCCACGCAGAGTGTACAGTGGACACTAATGTTTCATTCACTTTTTACGGAATAAAACTCAAAGTAATGTCAGTACGTCGACGCTTTGAATGCTGCATGCTCGTACTCTCTCCTGCACTCCTTATTATCCATGGTTGATCTAATCAGTAATCTAAATACTTTTTTTGCTATAGTAATCCCGTACATTACTCTTTAGTTGAAAAAAGTAACTGGATTACAGTAACGCGTTACTGCCCATCTCTGGTAGTAACTGTCAGTCTTTCATATCACTGTGGAGGAGCTTTTTTCCACTTTTCTTCGCAAAATTGTGTTAATGCAAGCGCAGACGGTTTTCATTATTTCAAGCAGGGTTAAGTCAGGATTTTGACATGGCCACGTAACCCTCCATGGTGTGTTAGTTTTATGCCAGAGGTTACAGGAATCAAACCTTCCAGAGAATTGAATTTCTCGGTCCACAGAACATTTTCTCTCTTGGGGATCATTAGATATTTTTTTAGAAGATGTGAGATGAGCCTTTGGAATTCTCCCATGGATGCCATTTTTGCCCAATCTCATTCTTATCACTGAACTCCGACCTTCACTGAGACTCTGAGTTCTTTAGATGGTTTTCTGGGTTCTTTTGTGACCTCTTGAGTGAGTTGAAGTCGAAGCGTTGACTCCTGAGAAGGTTCACTGCTGTTCCAGGATTTCTCTATTTGCAGATAATGACTCTCACAATGGA